GGAGACTGCCCAGCATGGAGCGGGTAAGAGCTTTGCTCGGCCCCTCTCTACCTCTCGCTTCTGTTCTGAGGCACCCTTTGCCGAGGGAGCCCTCTCCAGGCCCAGGATCTTCTCCAGCCCTCAGCAGTGCCCCGGCTCCCGGGAGGTTTTCTCTGAAGGACTTCCTTAGCACTTGCACCTACCTTTCCCAATTCCTGGTCACCTCGTTATTCTGCTAAGGCAAGATTTTTTTTCTAATGTGTTGTAACGACTGTCTGGTCTACAGGCGGGCTTGTGAGCCTTATTTTCCATTTGCTTAGCAGGAAGCAGACTGGGTAAAAATACAGCAAAGGTAGTCTTAAGGACTTGTGTTTAGCGTAAAGATAAGTTCTGTGTGTTGCCAGAGCTGTGCTGGAAGGAAATTTCCTGCTGTAGAGACATATTATGCCCTAGGATAAGCTTCAGGAAAAATGAGAAATCTTCCATTTGGGGTGTTTAAAAAGGGAGGAGAAGAAAAAAGAAAAAAAAAAAAATCTGTGGGAAGTCCTGGCTTGCCAGGAGTGGGTGGTTTACTGCTACTAAGAGTTTATTGTCTCTAATTTTTGTAATGAAGAGAGCTAATTTTGTGCCCCCCACATCGGGAATGTTGCGGGGCATGTGTTCCACCTTGTACTGTGTTGATTTATGATATAAATTCAGCTGTTACGCAACACACCTGAAGCATAGAGCCAGAAAAGGGGTTTATGACCTGCTAGTCTGATCTCCCGTAAGAGGGGAGAGGACTTCAGAAAACTCAGTTTTGAAATCAGTTTTGCAGGTGAGAGATTTGTGCTTCTTTTAAACGTTGTGCCTTCCCCCATCCCATGTCCAAGGCTCCTCAAGACACGTTCCAAGATGAGCTGGAGTGGTGCATTTTGCAGCTGGAAGCAAATCTCCTTCGCCTCAACCCAACTCCAAAGCAAGGTGTGTTGCCTCATTCACAGTCTGCAGCCATATTCCAACCTCAGTTCTGATTTAGCAGACCTGGACGTTTTTCTGTTTCTTCTCTCCCATCTGTTTCCTAATCTTGTGTTATATGGGGTTTGTTCTAAATACAGAGCAATGTAAAGCATTGAACTTTAAGAACTATCTGTCTGGAAGCAGCTTTATCTTTCATTCCTGTGACATTGATTCTCCCCGTTTTCTGTATTCTTTCTCGTGTTCTCGTTTTCCCATCTAACGGCTTGTTGTTTGGTTCTGCTACAGCTCTGCTTTTGTTTTCCAGTCTTAAGGAAATACTGTGTCAGTTCATCTGGCCCTTAAATGCCACTAGGTTTATTTTGGGGAAGCTTATTCCTCGTTGTTCTTGTTCCAAGGAGAAATTATGAGACAGACAAAATCCTATAAAATACTTTTCAGAAGATCACAGTTTGATCTAGTCTGTCCAACTTGTAAATATATGAAGACATATGTCCTGCTCCTACTGATGGCTAGTACTTAACATTTAGAGGAGGAGTGTGGCTACCCTTTGTAAGATGCCTAGATGAGTGTTTGCTGGTGTGCCTGAGAGTGTAGCAGTGATTTAATACGTGCCCAGACACCATGCTCTAGCATCAGACCATTTTGTTACACCCGTATCTTGTGCTCGGTACCTGGTGTCCAGCAGCAGCAGGGGAAGGCTGCTCCTGGAGGGGAGGCAGCAGCTGAGCACAGTGACAAGGCAAGCAGAGGCAATGACTTAGCTAGAAAAGGGCCCATTTGCACAGTACCTGGCCCAAGAGACCAAAGCAGTCCTGCTGATGGTAACCAGGCTCTGCCTGGAGTCCAGGTTGCCAGAGAAGTCTGCAGTGATGAGGCAGATTCAAGCTCTAGCCAGGAATTCAAGATCTAGATCAGTGAGGTACCTGGCTGCAGCAGTGCTAGGCATGAGATCTTCAGCTTAAAGTAACTCCCAAGTGAGGCAGGGGACAGGTTCCACTGAAGGTTTTTCTGGCTCTTACTTTGTAACAACTCTTACTAATGAGCAGACCTTGATTGCAGCCAGCTAAACCCCTTGAAGTAGGGGGAAATGTGTGCTCAGGACCCTGACACCGAGGTGCTATGAAGATACATCACACTTCTGTGGGTGGCTGCAGCCCCACTGCGGCATTTCTGCCTTGCACTTGCGTGTCATTACTCCGTTCCTAGCATGGGACTCTCAGTGCTGGATTTGCAAGATACATCTCATTTGGAGAGTCCCAGAGAGATGCACTGCAGCCAAGAGGGATGGATGTGTGCCCGTTCCAAAATACAAGTCTAGTACATGAAGCTTTTTTGTGGCTTAAAATGCAAGACAAACACTAGAAGACTATGTATACCTGGAGTTCCTGAACTGAAGTGTTTGGGGACTGCTGTCACAGAAGAACAGCTGTGCTTTTTGGACGATTTTCTCTGACACAAAGAATTGGGGTTACGGTTGTGGTCAGGCCGGTTTGTATGAGAGTTAAGCAAGAGTCTTACCGTTCAGGGTGTGCTCTCTGCTCAGTCAGATATTTTCCAGTTTTCCAGAGAGGAGGTCTGAGCTAGGCTCTTGGATTTGTCAGTAGCTTTGGGGAAGGGTTGTTAAACCCTGTGTAGCTTCTGTGCCATTAGTAGTCTAAGTGCAGTGTAAGATTCTTACCATATAAAATAAGTGGTTAAGATTTTTTTCTTTTTTCCCTTTTAAGAATATTTCATGGTTTTTCAGCTTCTAGAAGCACTTGGAGTTTCCTTTCAATCAAATGCCAGTCATGGATTAGTCAGAGGTGGTATGATCACAGAACATGTTCAGAGGAGACCCCGTCATCAACATCCCACGATATGGTTTGTGAGGCCCACCGTAACCTGTTTCTTGTCTCTCTTGGTCTTTTTCTTGAGTGCAGCAGAGGAGACACAACACATTCTCAAGGTCCTGCGCTCCCGTGAGACTCCTTTTGTGAAGAAACGACAAGTGATGAACCATGTGTTTGGGGATTATTGTCTCAAGATGGCAGGGGATCAGAAGAGCATGGAGAAAGCAGGTGAGCTTCAACTGTCCCTTCGGGGGATGGTGATACTTGGTTCTTTTCTGTAAATTTCTTACATGGCAGCTTTTGACTGGATCACCTCTCTGCCGCAGTGCCTTACAGAGGGATTTGCAATAGCAGTGGCATCCCTGTAGTAGGAAACTGGCATATTGATAGAAAAGTTCTCCTTTATCTTTTCTAGATGTGAAACCTGGTGATGTGGAAGTACGGCAAAGCAACGGGCAGGCTTCAGATGGTGTGGTATGTGGGAAACAATGTGACCAAATCTCTGAGGCAAAGCCAGAGTCGTTCACGTCATCTGACAGCAGCTTCCGATTTGATTTTACACTTTCTGAGTTTGACCCAGAAGCAGCTGGCACACCTTTGGAAGCAGTCCGTGGTGACAGTGGTGCTGAGCAGATACAAACCAACGTAAGAGCCACTGAGCAGGAGAACTGGAATGGAGCCTTGAGTTTTGCTGCCTCTGGACAAGAAGCCAAGTTTCCTTTCAACTTTGCCATACCAGATGAAGACTGTCCTCTGGCTCAGTTAGTTCCAGCAAGCCAACGTATAGAGTGTACAGCAGATCATGAAGTGCTGGGTAATTCACTGCTGGCTGAATCAGCAGGTGTGCCACGGATTTCAGCTTTGCAGAAGCCTGAGTTGACTGAAACTACAGGTAGTGCACCCAAAGAGGATAGAAGCCATGTCATGTTAAAGATCCCCCAACCAGAGACTGCTCCTGGAGGTGAGACAGCGACAGAGAAATCAACAGCAGATGGAGCTGCCCAGAAGAAGAAAAAGAAGAAGAAACAAAAAAAGTCTGTCAGTAAAAAGGAGATGGAAGAAACTGAGATCAACGGGAAGGCAAAGGCAGAAGCTAACAGATGTCAAAATAAAGATAGTTCCCACCAGGATGAGACCTCTCAGGTATTTAAGTATTGATGGGATTCCATAATTTATAAACCCTTGAGCAAAGGAGAAGCCTTATCTCTTTGCATAGTTTAACAGTTAGTATACTGGCTTGAGATGAAAGCTGAAAGACAAGAATTGCTGCTTATTTCTCACAGCAGCTATTTTCTTTCTCTGCTGGGCAGTTGAGGAGCCTAACTGATGGAAAGAAAGTTAATGGTCCTTTGTTGTCCGTTTCAGACTTGTGCTGAAACGTTTCATGTGACAGCTCATCCTGGGAAGCTGGGCACCACGCTTTCTTAAAAAAAAATGAGGTAACTGTCCTCAGTCAGTGCCAAGCTGGTATCTGTGTGTGCTGAACCAGGCCCTGTACCCCTGATTTGCGTGTTTCCAGGTAGGATGAATTGCTCACATAATGCAAATAGCAAAACTGAGGTGCAGAGCTGCTACCTGGTGTAGCCAGGGCTGTGGCAGGGTCTCGTGCATAGCGTAAGGGTGCTTCTGAGGAGGTTCTCGCTGTAAGGCGTGGCCCACAAATCGACTGAAGTCGCGAGTTATGTGTAAACGCACCATTAAGGCACACCCTGAGGTTTTCTAATGTTCTGCTAAGGTCCAGGTCTTCATTTTATTTTTATTTTCAGCACTGGTGTAGTTAGTTATTATTAAGAAACAACGACAGCTGAGCAATACTGAAATACAAAAAACTTGCTTTCGTCAGTATTCTGCAGGGAATTTGCACTGAGTATTCACCTACCTCTAGAAGCATTCCATCCAAAGTACTGCTTCACCAACAACCCTACCAATAAACACTGCTGAGTACCAGAAAGGTAGAAAGATTTGAAGGTGATGTAAGGCCCTTCCAGGCCAGTGGAAGGAGACTTGTAAGGAAAAGGAGACGGCATGAGGGCTTTTGTTTTTATGCGTACATAATAGTTAAGAATTGCTTCAGCCCCAGAGTGCAGCCCTGTTTCCCTCTCCCTTCCACTGCTCAGTTAGCCAGCTGGCTTTGCTCAATGAGGCTTGGCTTATTTCATCTTCATGGGCCTCAGCTTCCTTCTCCTCATGCATTTCTGGTTGAGCAAGCACACAGGAGCTGAGACCAAGGTTCAGCTTCTGATATCATCCATCGTTTGCTTTTTGATTTTGGGCAGGTTTGGGGGTAGGGGTTTTTTGTTGTTAATGCTTATTCCTCCCATCTGTAAGCTGATTTGACAGCTTCTTTCAGTGGAAAGGCCCTGGACAGCTTTCCAGAAAACAGCGTCATCGGAATGGCAGCCAAATATTAAATCCATCAAATAGAGGCAGTGAGTTGCAACTAAACATTTGTTCAGTGCTTTAAGTTTATCCAATGAAAAACACTATAGGGAAAACATCATGAAGTCTATGAAGTGATCACCAGAACATGAAATTTGGAATAGTCCTGACTTTATGCAGATACCTTTTTTCCTGTGTAGCAGCTGCTGCTCTAATTTTTGGGTGACTTATTTCCTCATGCTAACTCTGCTCCATGTTGCACAGCAGTCAGACGACCAACTGTGGAAAGAGGTGGACTGGTGTGTGGAACAGCTGGAACTTGGCCTGAAGACACAGAAATCCACTCCAAAGCAGGGTAAGCATTCAAGTAAAGAAGAGATCTCCCTTGTGGGAAGGGTTGGCATGCATGCAGGGGCAGAGCCAGTGGGGAGTCAAACTATGCGTTGTTTCCGCTTTGCGGTGCTTCAGTCGAGGAGGCTCTCCGTGCGATCAAGACGCTACGCAGTGACAAGGCTCCGCTGGTGAAGAAGCGTCAGATCATGAGAACCATGTTTGGAGACTACAGGAAGAAGATGGAGGAGGAGCGGTGCAAAGAGCTGAAGCTCATGGAAATAGGTAGGAGAATTTTGCATGGTGGGGAAAGAGAAGGAGAAAGGGCTTTGCTCCTGCCCTCCATGTTGCTTTACAGAGTGAGACCTCGCTATGTGATATGACTAAACATCTCTTACTGCTATTTTCTCCCCTCTTTAAGCTGCAAAATCTGCCAGAGTCGTGGAAGTGAAGGGAAACATCCGCAACAAGAATTGCCAGTTGATCCGGAAGCGCTCAGGAGCTTGTGGGAAAAACAAGAGTTCAGC